TGCAGCTATATATCATGTTGACTTAAATCAGGGCCAGAATTTCTGGCCCTCCTGGTTTTTTGGAGGATGGGGTGTGGGGGACCCAGCAACATCTGGAGGACCCAGAAGTTCCTCACCTTGATGTGGACTATTGCTACCCAAACAGAAGACTTAATTTTCTTATGAGCACACTGGCTGCTAGGACTGTGCAAAATTATCATTAGTCCTTGAAAGTTGGATCACATTTGTTAAATTCATACTTACAACTCAATATCTGACATGTGGGTGTCTTTAAATTAATGGCCTCTCACCATTAGGAGAGGGAAGCAGCAGGGAGAAAGCAGAATTTGCTGGGAAAGAAGGCACAGAATTCTGGGAAATGTAGTTTGGCAAGTCCTATGCCAGAGAATTTAAAAGGCCCTGCCCTAAATTACATTTCCCAGAATTCTGCTCAGCATCAGAAAGCCCCAATCAGGATAGGGGAGAGATTTGTCCCTCTGTAGCAGCAGCCAGCTAGAGTTCCAATAAATGGTTGATTCTGCAAAGAAGAGGACTGACTGATACTTCTAGTAAGTAAATCTCTGTGCTGGGATGGGAAGAAATCCCTAAATGGAAATTCTATTGGTTATTATGGAGACATTAAATAAGATAGCAGTTGTGGCTTTTTTTAAAAAAGTGTTTGTCAAAACTTTAAAGAATTCCCTAAAATCAGTTGATGTATGGATATTTGTCGGGGGTGCTTTGAATGCATTTCTGTCAGGGGTGCAATTTTCCATCTGTTGGGGGTGCTTGGAATGCAATTTTCCTGCTTCTTGGCAGGGGGTTGGACTGGATGGCTCATGAGGTCTCTTCCAACTGTATGATTCTATGATTTCTGAAAGTTGGCAGGGATGATTCCCTGTTATCTTGTGTCATTGTATAGAAAATTCAAGGAGATAGTTCTTGTAGTTTTCTTTTTTATAAATATTTTTTTATAAAACCTTTGAAATTTCCCCAAAAATCTGTGGATAAGTGAAATGTTCTAAAATATGATGGGCCAACAGTGGTAAATGTGTTCTACCATTGTAGCAAATTTCACCCCAATAGCTCTAAAAATGGGGGAGAAAGGAGCCCCAGAAGTTTCCCCACTTGCACAATTATTATAATGAAAAAGGAATGAAATTTAGCTACTCGTGTTATAGTAACAATTTTTTCACTAATGATAGTTTAGAAACCCTTTAGAAATAAAACATTCACACCCCCAAATTTTGTAAGGAGTTTTGAAACTTTTTTTTCATTGATCACACAGCTCTACTGGCTGTATTTGCTTCTCTACTCAATGAGAGATGGTGGTGCTTCTCAACTCTGATGAGACCCATCATGAGGTTTGTGGGGCAGCCCAAGCACAATTCTCAATTTCTTTTCCCCAGGAAAGTGATCAGTACTGTCAAAGATGACAGTGTGTAGACAATATGATTATGTTGAATGCACTATTCTCAGCTTCTGATCTGATTGCTTGTTGACAGTGTCTCCTTGTGGTGCAGCAGATGGAATAAATGGCATCATGCAGTTTTGACTGCCTGTTGACAACTTCTTCAGGTAAAGCAGTCACCTTGATAATGGGGCAAGTGATGTGTATGTGTATGAGAGAAGTCTGCATCTCTACCTGTACTTTATGCTTGCTAGATTTGAGATGTGTGTGTCGGTGTCATCTGATTTACAGAAGAATGGACTGAGAAATAAGGAAGGACTATGTTATTCCTAATAACAGAACCCAATTCCTTCTGGCAATAATCGGGGTAAGCCATCTATTAATATTTTATTAGCCTAGAGTCTGTTGACCTATGTTGTCTCAGTGACCCAATGGCATGCTGATGAAGCTCATGCTCTTCCTCTTGTTTTCCAGAGTTGTCATTTCCTACTTCATTGGACAAGCTCTTTGCCCTCAGGCTTCCTAGAGGCATCGGCTGACATGTATACTTATTTTAAAAAATAATGTACCTTTGGGATGCTGTCTCTGGCAGCAAGAAGGTTAGAAAGCTACTTTACAGTTCTGAACCAGAGTGACAATTTCTACTCCTTTCTCATATGAAATCTGAATAGAATATAAGGCTCAATTGCCTGAAATTCATGGGGTCACCATAAGTCAACTGTTAACACGAACATGCACAAACAAACATGCAGGCTTAAAAAAAAAACAGCATTTGCCAAAGTGAACACCTGTTTGAATATCTAGTTGAATACCAGTGCCTTTCCTAGGAGCTCCCAGTGGCACAACGAGTTAAACCCTTGTGCCAGCAGGTCACAAAGGTCAGCGATTCAAATTCAGGGAGTGAGGTGAGTTCCCATCTATAAGCTCTAGCTTCCCATGCAGGGACATGAGGGAAGCCTCCCACAGGTCGGTAAAACATCTGGGCATCCCCTGGGCAACGTCCTTGCAGATGACCAATTCTCTCACATCAGAAGTGACTTGCAGTTTCTCAAGTTGCTCCCAACACACAAAAAAGTGCCTTTACTGTCTTACCCATGTGAATTTGTGTCGCTGTCTTCCCGTCAAGGTCCTAGCAGTCCTGTTTTGGGGCTAGAAAAGTGGAAAGCAATTGTAGGCTATCTGTTTTTCCTGTACCACAGTGGTCCCCATCTTTTGATCTTCCAGGTATTTGGAACCTCAACTCTCAGAAGTCATCACCAGCTTACTCAACTTTCAAGTGATTCTGAGAGTTGAAATGCCTGCAGACCAAAGATTGGGAGACACTGCTGTAGAGCATCCTTCATTTTGCCCAGAAGGCCAGGATTAGGATCTCTATTGGGATTTATATACCTGCATTTAACTTTTCAAAAGCCATTAATGCAATTAGGAGTAGAGAGCCTGTATGGTGTAGTGATTTTAGTGCTGGACTAGGATTATAGGAGACCAGCGTTCAAATCCCTGCTTAGCTATAGAAATCTGCTGGGTGATTTTGGACAAGTCATAGTCACTTTGCCTAAGTGGGAGGCAACAGGAAACTTTCTCTAAATGAGTTATACCAAGAAAATTGTATGCGATGGTCAAGTCAGAGTAGTTTTAAAGGCATACAACAAAAACAGCAACAACAATTAGCAATTGGGCAAATGCCATTTTTGTTTAGTTTGGAGACTTTAGCTCCTAGTATTCCGTTAGAGAAATGATTCTTTATAGATCTGATAACAATCAGCAGTAATCTATGGAGTGAAATGTGCAACACACTCACAAATTAAGAAGCAGATCTATTCTGGATGTCTCTTAAAATTGGATTTCATTACCTCCCCATCATAACCATCCTTATCCTGGGGCAGTAGATGGCTAAATGCACTAAATTTCCCCAGCCCCTTTCTGATGACAATGACAATCTCATTTTGGAACACACAGTACATTGCCGCTATTTTGAAATATATTCTTGATCAAAGTCTACCACCTGCTGGACATAGTTAAAATTACCACTGGCTCTTCAAAGGACGAAGAAAAAGATAACATGCATGGGAAAGTATGTGGCCAAATGGAGAGCTACTTTTTCCATAACAGGAGTGTAACTACGATAAATTCTAACAATAATGTAATACAGAGGAACTTTTTAACTTGGTGCAACAAATAACGGCACTTTCAGAAGTAACTTTTAAAGGTAAGCTTTAGAAACAAGAATTTCCACATTTTATGCTATTCTTTTATTAATCCCATGTGCTTTTCTAAACAATTGAAATTAATATACAAAGAACAAGTAATCACTTTGAAATAGTATAACAAGCAGCAACAACAAAGCTTTACAAGTAATGGTTTAAGGTTCTGGCAAGATGCTATGCAGAAGAAGTGTCCTGGATTATCCTGTTCTGTCACTAGAATAATAGAATCATAGCGTTGGAAGAGACCTTGTGGCCATCCAATGCAATCCCCTGCCAAGAAGTAGGAAAACTGCATTCAAAGCACCCCCGACTAAGATCAAAGAGTAGTGAAGAGCAGCGGACCAGCATTCAAGTCAAGTTTTCACTTCTCAATTAATAAGAATGATTTTTTTTCCTTTAAGACATGAGCTACAAAAAAAAAAAAGATATAAAGGAGTCCAAAAATGGTTTTTGCCAAAATTATGATTCAAAACGATATCATTTAGTATGAAAGGTATGTATCTATGCCTTCTTCTGTTTACTTTTTATAGAAATGCTTAATAAGAATAAAAAATCAAGACTGTTCATCTTAATGGGATGGTAAATAATGCTGTCTCATAAATAAATAATGATATTGTAATTTGAATGTTAAAGTAGGACTTTAAGAGATAAGAGTTTGAATCTTCACTCAGCCATGGAAACCCACTTGGTGATTGATCTTGGGCAAGTCAGTTCAATACAAGGAAATGGCAAATTTCTGAACAATCTTGCCAGGAAAACTTGGTTATAGAATCATTTTAGGGGTGCCATAAATCGGAAATGTCTTGAAGGCACATATCAACAACAGATAATAACATAAGGCAATGTCTATACCCAAGCCATTTAAGTATGATTTGAATTCAGAATGAAATAGTGCCTTAATATTGTCAAATGGTGTGGACAAGTTTCAAAAGTTGAGATATATAAACAGTCTCTGCCATTAGATCCTGAAGAACATATCAGGCTTACAAAATAAAATAAAATAAAATAAAGGATTATTATTATTATTATTATTATTATTATTATTATTATTATTATTGTCAATGACTGATCCTGAGGCTTCTGTGTGCAATGCCATCCTCTAGATCCCATTATCCCATTTGCAACAAATCACCACATGCAATTTCACCAAAAGCTGGGATAAAAATGGTTATGCAGATAATAAACATTTCAAACACAGATTGAATGCCTATTAGAGCTGCATGTATGTGTTTCTGAGACCATTAGATGGCTGAAATTATAAAGGACATCTTGGCTTGTTGTGCCATGTTCTGAACACTCTGCCTACTTTGAAAGTATCTCTATACATGAAATGTGAAAGTTATATGTAAACATGAAGTCCTGGAATCTACCACATTATAAACAAGACATCTATACATGGGTCTTACCTTTTTGTGTTTATAGTAGTAAAGGCAACCATCGTGTTTTAGCACAAACCATCTCTTCCTCCAGCCCTTCAGGAAACCTGACTGCGTCCGTTTATGCAGATATCCCCGACATGTTGGACGAGGGGTATTGGGGCAACGGCTGATATCAGAGCCAACTAACAAGGTCAGGATATCTGGACCTGAAAAATGTTAGAATATCATATAATATATGTCAAATTAAAGACAATTCTACAAAGCCAAGAAGATCGGCATATAAGGTATAAACAATAAAATGGGAGAGGCATATGAAGTTTCTCCTCTTTGATCTTGAGCAAATATTCAAACATCTTAGAACCCAGAGTGAATGGATAGCCTAAGACAACTCTAGTAAAATTTCTGTACACAGATGACATATAACTCTATTACGCCTTTCCACTGTAATCTAAGGAAGTCTCCCAGATCCTGGATCAGTGCCTGGCAGCTGTGATGGACTGGATGAGGGCTAACAAGCTGAAACTTACTCCAAATAAGACAGGTTCTCCTGGTCAGTTGCAAGGATGATTAGGGTATTATTTATTTATTTACAGTATTTATATTCCACCCTTATCACCCCGTAGGGGACTCAGGGCAGATTATAATGCACATATACATGGCAAACATTCAATGCCATTTAGACATCTATATAAATAAAAATGTAATGTTCGTTTGTGGGATTAACAGAACTCAGAAACTACTGGACGAATTGACACCAAATTTGAACACACGACACCAACTAAAGCAATCTATGTCCTTCACTCAAAAAAACAAAAAAAAATTAACCGGAGAGAACTTAAACCCCCCACAAAGCTAAATGACTATACAGAGCATGAGTTAAAAGAACACCCTCCCCCACCCTTCCCTCCTGCATGAGGGGGAAAAAACCAACAGCTAAGAGAGAGGTAGCTTGAGAGAGGAGGGAAAGGTGGCCGGTATATCCCTCTTGCTACCCCCTGCCTCTCTCTTCCCAAAGCATTTAGAGAGAGGGAGGGAAGGAAGGAAGGAGGGAGGGAGAGAGAGGACACTCTCCTCCAGATCCATTCCCTTCCAATTCCTTCCCTTTTCTTCCTTTCCCACTCTCGGCAGCATGGAGGTGCCTCCACTGTGAACTCACACGGGAGGGATTCTGTGTGTGTGTGTGTGCTCACCCATACTAAGTTATAGGAAGTAATTCTGGGAAATGAAGTCCAATATTCAAAGAAAGGACAAAAAGGCACACTCTGTGAATTAAAAACGGCTGTCCAGGAAGGCACAATCAAAACACTCGTGAAAGATGGCCATCCATTTTCACTTTATAGCAACCCTGGGCTATAATATATCTACAATAATAATATCTATATATCTATCATAATAATATCTATAAGTCTATAATATGTCTATGATATCTATATGTCTATAACAATCATATCTATAATAATATCTGTAATCTGCAATAATAATGTCTATATGCCTATAATAATATCTATAGGTCCGTAATAATATCCATATGTCTATAATTATATCTGTCAATATCTATAGGTAAAGGCAAAGGTAGTCCCCTGACATTAAGTCCAGTCATGTCTGACTCTGGGGTGTGGTGCTCATCTCCATTTCTAAGCTGAAGAGCCAGCGTTGTCCGTAGACACCTCCAAGGTCATGTGGCCGGCATGACTGCATGGAGCGCCGTTACCTTCCCACCGGAGCGGTACCTATTGATCTACTCACATTTGCATGTTTTCGAACTGCTAGGTTGGCAGAAGCTAGGGCTGACAGCGGAAGCTCACGCCACTCCCCGGAATCGAACCTGCGACCTTTCGATCAACAAGCTCAGCAGCTCAGTGCTTTAACCCACTGCACCACCGGGGGCTCTGTCAATATCTATACATCTATAATAATACCTATATGCCTATAATATCTATGTTTATAATAATAATAATAATAATAATAATAATAATAATATCTATATACACGTATAATAATATGTATACATCTATAATAATAATAGCTATATAATATCTATAATAATAATAATAATATCTATATGCCTATAATAATATCTATAGGTCTGTAATAATATCCATACACCCACTCTTTTTCCAATATTGTATTGGCTTCTGGCCATAAAAGAATTGCTGAGCAGGAACAGATAATAAGCTCTGGAGGTGAAAAGAAGATAGTTGGACATTATTTTAAAAATGACATAGCTGTTTAGCTTGGGAAAGGGGGTAATCTGGGAATCTGAGGAAGATACATGTGATGTCTGTAGAGGAGAGAGATCAAACACAGTGAGATAATGAGAATGAAGAAAGAGCTCTTTCAATTTTTGGAAGAGACAGGAAAAGAAAAACATGCAATCAGGTTGCAGAGTCATCATGCACAGAACCTTAGTGCGCAAACAAGAATGAAACTCACTTCTGCCTGGGCATTGACTATGAAGTCAAGGGAGCCCATACTGTTTTACTAAGTTACCTATTATCTTTCCCTATGTTCATATGACTTTTTACACACTTGTCAAAAGCATTTTCCAGCAAATGCATTGTATAGGATCAGTGCTTCCTCCCATAAATACCTCACACATTGCAAGAAAGTGAGAAATATAGTTTGTGTATTTGTGCCTGTATGTGTGTGAATGAAAGAGAGAGAGAGAGAGAGAGAGAGAGAGAGAAGAATTGGAGGAAGCCTCCTCAGGGGATATGGTATGGGGCAATAGATCTACTTCCCTGTAGGAATACTTGCTTTCCCCCATCACTTCTGTCATTGTGGCCAACTGAAGTTCTCCATATATTTTGTAGCTCATAACTCCCACCAGCCATAACTAACATAGTCAATAGTGGTGGAGTCCAAAAGCAAATTTGTCCAGAGTCATTAATGTGTGGCATACAAGCAAAATTTGAAAACAGAATTTGCTAAGATTGCAAAAATGACATCTAAAATGTGACAAATTTTCTTATTCATTCTCATGTTGGCATCCATTTTAATAAAAGAACAGATGAAGGAAGCTGGAGACAAAGGGCAAAAGGGGAAAGAAGTGTAATTTATTATTTATTTATTTATTTACCATATTTATATACTGCCATTATTCACCCCTGAGGTGACTCAGGGCAGTTTACAAGAAACTGGGACATTTGAAAAGTAGTTCAAAAAGTAGGTTGACAGACGATTAATCTGTACTGTCCTTGCCAAGTCTGGACAGTTAGAAAAGAAGAGAGTATTCTCAGATGATATCCAAAGACATTTCCTTTGGAAATTGGATAAGTTATGAATTTGGTATGTGCCAATATATATTTGTTAAAATCTGTTTATTTATCAAACCTTCCAAACTTTGTGTCATATCGTGGAGAAGTTCAGGACTTCAATAAGTTATTTACATGCATTTAAGAAAACAGTTGGATTTTAGATCTGTGCCAGGGAAAAGTTTCCGAATTTCAGTTTCTCCTTCCCCATCAAGTAATATGTTGCCTGGATCTATAAGATGTTGGCCTTCCATACTCAGACAGACTAATATATTTATTTATTGAGCCAGTTATGGATTTGTCTCTTGAGGAAATACTAGGCATAAATAGAAGATTGATGTCTTGGAGGCTATTGTTGGGACCCATCTGTCTTTGAGGCTTGTCTCCCCTAAAGCAATATTGCTAAATGTGCTCTTTCCCTCTGACATTTTAGCTGGCACACAGAGAAAATGAGGGTCTTTTATCTAACCCAATCATTTTTGTTGGTCTACTGTCGCCTTATTGCTCCATCAGTCTCCACATATCCAAAGTACCTTACTCTTATTATCAAAGTCAGCTTCTCTAATGCAGTGAAGTGGTAATGTTCATAGGCAGGCTCACTTTCTAAAGCTAAAAAAAATTAAATTTGTGACATGTTCAGCTTCTCTGACCACAGAAATTCCATTTGGTTTCTCTGAGCTCGCTTTAATTTGCTCCTCTTCTCTTGAAATCACAAAGAAGTACTCACAAAAAAACAAAAACAAAACAAAACTCTTGATGAGCTACCAGTAATAATTTATTTTGTGCAGCACACCAAAAAACGTTATCACGCGTCTTCAGCTATATTCTTTCATTGATTGAAAGAACACAACTTCATTCTGCATCATATGATGTCTCCCACGGTAGTGAGGAAAGATAGGATAACAGTAAGTTTCATAATTCATATTATGGTAATACTATTAAGAGGTCAACACAAAGGCACAATGTGTACAAGCTATTTAGATTTCTATGGCACCTCATTCCATCAAGCAAGATGTTGCAAAAATCAGGTAGGATTAGAAAGCTAGAGGAAGCTAAAAGTGTCCATGTTGTCTTAACATGTAATAGAGGAAGGATCCACACAATTTTCAATAAAGCCTATCAAGTAGTATTAAACTATGAAGTTTAATCCAGAGTATAGCTCCTAGGCTTGCTGGTTGGAGGAAAAACAGAAAAAAATTGTGTCTGTTTTGAAAATACAACTTCCTAGTGCACATTCAGATCTGTCTCCAGTATCCAAAACATATCCAGGAATGACTTAAAAGCAATTTATTGTAGCAATAGTGGGTTACTTCTAGCAAATTATTTTTAGGAGAAATGGGAGTGAATAACTTACGCTAGCTTTCAAAACAAAGCAATAATTTTTCTTTTAACTGGTAATGCATTTTACATGTTATTCATTGTGGAGGCGAGGGGCATGTTGCAGTCCTCTCACACAACATAATTTTAACACCACGATTCCACTTTAAGTGCCATGGAATCCTGGTATTTGCACTTTAAGGAGAGGTATTTCGAATTCTCAGCCAGAGAGCTCTTAGGCCTCACCAAACTATCAATCCCAGATATTTATAGGATATAGACATGGTAGTTAAAGTGGAAACACACTGCTAGAATTGTGCAGTGTCAAAGAACTCCAGCTATTCATTTTCAAGAGGTACCCTACTCTTTTTTTAAAAAACTTTAAAGAGTATTCAGCGGTATAGAAGTAAAGTAAGTAAGTAAATAAATAAATAAATAAATAAATAAAACTTTTTGACACATTGTGTTTTAAAATTTGACAAATGGGCCGGCCCAGTGGCAGATGAATGGTAAGTGTTTGTGTGAACTAATTGAAAAAAATGAACAAATTCCTATGCACACTGCACGTATCTCATTTGTAGTGCAAAAAAGGAAGGCAGGAAAGAAAGAGCAATACAATATTTAAAATGAAGAACAATTTTAACCAACATAAGCCATCCAGTCCAACCCTCTTCTGTCATGAAGGAAAAGCACAGTCAAAGCACCCTAAACAGATGGTCACACAGCCTTTGTAACAACAACTACCCCAGTAGCCATCAACTCAGTTCAGCCATACAGAAAAAGTACAATCAAAGCAAGGGGCTGAGAGGGAAATGGGGTTTTGGAAGCAAGGAAGGCAAGGGGGGAAAAGATCTGGGTAACAAGGAGGTGAGGGATGAAGGCTTTAAGTGGCAAGGGAGGCGGGGGAGGAGAAGAAAGGAGAAGGGGAAGCTTGGAAGAGGAAGAGTAAACGATGATGCCTCTCAGAATGCTTCACGGAGCCGTAAGGACTCCACGGAACACACTTTGGGAATGTTGCTCCAGACTATCTGAAGAACCCTATATCACTTTATGAACCTATTGGAGCTCTAAGATTGTACACAAATATCCTTCCTTCTATTCCACTACTTTCTCATTAGATTTGTTTGGTGGAAACAAGAGAAAGGACATTCTTGGTGGCTGCTCCCAGACTTTAGAACTGCTTCCCTAGGTAGGCCACAAGGTCCTCTCCTTGCTCAGCAAGTTACATGTTTTTAATGATGTCAGACTTTTACAAATTGACCGAGGTGGACTTTCAATGCTGTGTGGTGCTGTTTTAAGGTTAGTTTGTTGAATTCTAATAAATATTAATATTTTAAATATTTAATGTTTTTAACTATTAATTGTATATCACACACACACAAACTTAGTGAAGCTTTTGTATGATTTTACAGTGTCTGGTTTTTGAAAGAATGCCAGGATATAAATAAATAATAACATTGGTTGTATTTGGTAAGGACTGAGCAGGTTCAGAATAAAGAAACTTCAGGTTTGGAAATGTGTGGATTGGGATAGGATGTAAACATCATAGGAATAGTAATCAGAAATGAATATAATGAAATCTTAATCTAGTGTTCTAAGAAAAGTTTGAGTAGGGCTAAAAGGCCAAGTGATCCTTCTGTAATGAGGCTTAATGAAACTATTTCCTTTCATCATACCTATTATTCCATTTAAAGCAGAAAAGACAGATTTTGTGTTGATTCAAAAGAGGGTGGATATATTGGACATGGAGGTTGAATCACAGGCAGTGTGCCTCCTTCAGATCTAACTTACATCTTACTGCATTTTGATCTCAATGTCAACATCCATACTTGGTTCTTATTTATTTTGGAAAGCTGTGTTAGAATTGGCTCAGTTACTGAAAATTCCTCCCACCAACTTTCCCTTCTTCAGTGCTTTGACAAAGTGTGGGATGTTCTCATTGCTGAGAGAATTACACACCAAATTAATGCTGCCATGAGACCAACTATACCACACTTGGGTTGTTGTAGGTTTTTTCGGGCTATATGGCCATGGTCTAGAGGCATTCTCTCCTGACGTTTCGCCTGCACTTTGGCAAGCATCCTCAGAGGTAGTGAGGTCTGTTGGAACTAGGCAAAAGGATTTATATATCTGTGGCCTGACCAGGGTGAGACAAAGGACTCTTCTCTGCTAGAGCAAGGTGTGAATGTTTCAACTGACCACCTTGCTTAGCATACAATGGCCTGACTGCGCCTGGGGCAAACTTTTGTTGAGAGGTAATTAGATGTCCTTGTTTGTTTCTCTCTGTTGTTGTGCTGTTGCAATTTTAGAGTTTTTTAATACTGGTAGCCAGATTTTGTTCATTTTCATGGTTTCCTCCTTTCTGTTGAAATTGTACACATGCTTGTGTATTTCAATGGCTTCTCTGTGTAGTCTGACATGGTGGTTGTGAGAGTGGTCCAGCATTTCTGTGTTCTCAAATAAATGTGTGTGTCCAGGTTGGTTCATCAGGTGCTCTGCTATGGCTAATTTCTCTGGTTGAAGTAGTCTGCAGTGCCTTTCATGTTTCTTGATTTGTGTTTGGGCGCTGCGTTTGGTGGTCCCTATGTAGACTTGTCCACAGCTGCATGGTACGGTAGACTCCTGCAGAGTGAGAGGATCCCTCTTGTCCTTTGCTGAACGTAGCATTTGTTGGATTTTCTTGGTGGGTCTGTAGATAGTTTGTATGTCGTGTTTCCTCATCAGCTTCCCTATGCGGTCAGTGGTTCCCTTGATGTATGGCAAGAACACTTTTTCTCTGGGAGGATCTTCATCTTTATTCTCGTGGCTTGTTCTTGGTCTTGCAGCTCTTCTGATGTCTGAGGTGGAGTATCCATTGGCCTGTAGAGCCCAGTTGAGGTGGTTCAGTTCATCTTGGAGGGGGTGGGGTTCGCAGATTCTTTTTGCACGGTCTGCCAAGGCTTTAATGGTGCTTCTTTTTTGACTTGGGTGATGGTTGGAGTTTTTATGTAGATATCTATCTGTGTGTGTGGGTTTTCTGTAAACGGTGTGACCCAATTGTTGATCTGGTTTGCGGATGACTAGGACATCTAGAAAAGGCAGTCTTCCTTCATTTTCTTTTTCCATAGTGAACATGGAGAAGAAGAACTCAACAGGTTCCTGGACCATCTTAACAGCATCCACCCAAACATCCAGTTCACCATGGAAAAAGAAAAGGAAGGAAGACTGCCTTTTCTAGATGTCCTAGACCCAACTGGCCCCCTGTATAGCTCATTTCACTGAGAGATAAGTACCTTTTTCCCTAACTAGCCTTCATGGGAATAGAGATGCTGGGTTTTTTTTTTAAGGAAATGCTTGTTTAATATTTTAAAATTCATATTTTAATTGGACATACTGCTTTAGCTATTTTATTTTATTTTACATTGTAAACTGTTTAGGTACAAATTTGGGGGAAAGCTGGGATATAACGTATATATATAGAAATAATAAAGAAATGAAGTAAGTTCCCTTCTGCCCTCTTTTTTTTTTTTTTTGCTCCTTTTCACTGTTTACCTCTTTTCCAACCTGTCCAGCATTAACCAGGAATCTAGGTTTCTTATCTACACCCCCCCCCCCTTACTAGTCAACATGATTTTCCTGGATCTCTCAGCAGCTTTTGATATCATTGACCATGGTATCCTCCTGGGTTGTCTCACTGGGATGAGACTGGGAAGAACTGTTTTCCAGTGGCTCTAGAATTTCTTGGAGGGCCATACCCAGAATGTGGTGCTGGGGGACTCCTGTTCAAACCCCTGGCTTTTGACCTGTGGGGTTCCTCAGGATTCCATTTTGTCTCCCATGCTATTTAATATATACATGAAACCTCTGGGAGAAATCATTCAGAGTTTTGGAGTACAGTTCCACCTATATGTAGAATGCACTCAACTCTACTACACCTTTCCACCTAATGGCAAGGAAGCTGCCCTGGCCCTAAACTCATGGAGTGAATGAGGACAAACAAATTGAAACTTAATCCAGACAAGACATTGGAACTCCTGGTCAGTCGGAAGGCTGAACAGGGAATAGGGATCGGGCTTGTGCTAGATGGAGTCACCATTCCCCTGAAGACACAGGTCTATAGTTTGGGGGCCCTCCTGGACTCAGTGCTGAACCCGGAAGTCCAGGTATCTGAGGTGGCCAGGAGGCCTTTGCACAATTAAAACTTGTGTGCCAATTGCACCCATTCCTTAAGAAGTCAGATCTGGCCATGGTGGTACATGCCTTAGTTACATCCCATCTGGATTACTGTAACACGCTCTATGTGGGGCTGCCTTTGAAGGGTGCTTGGAAACTTCTGCTGATCCAAAGAGCTGCAGCCAGGTTGCTCACTGGGGCTGGCTACATGGAGCAAACAACCCCCCGTTGAAGCAGCTCCACTAGCTGGCAGTCTGTTACTGGGCACAATTTAAAGTGCTGGTTATGATCTTTAAAGCCCTTGGTGGTTCAGGTCCAGGCTATTCGGCCAGCCACATCCCCTTGTATGAACCTGCCCAGGCCCTGAGATCACCAACCTGGACACAGCATTTTATTTGAGAACACAAAAATGCTGGACCACTCTCACAACCACCATGTCAGACTACACAGAGAAGCCATTGAAATACACAAACATGTGGACAATTTCAACAGAAAGGAGGAAACCATGAAAATGAACAAGATCTGGCTACCAGTATTAAAAAATTCTAAAATTGCAACAGCAAAAACAGCAGAGAGGAAACAGGCAGGAACATCTAATTACCTTTCAAGAAGAGTTTGCTCCAGGCACAGTCAGCCCATTGTATGCTAATCAAGGTGGTCAGTTGAAATATTCACACCTAGCCCAACTGACAAAAGTCCTTTGTCTCACACTGGTCATTCCACAGATATATAAACCCCTTTTTTCCCAGTTCCAACAGACCTCACCTCTGAGGATGCTTGCCATAGATGCAGGCGAAACGTCAGGAGAAATACCTTTAGAACATGGCCATATAGCCCGAAAAAACCCACAAGAACTATACTGTTATAGTTGTTTATTTATTTTGAACATAATGGAAAAATGTTTAGGCTTTTGCAAGTAAATAATCAAAACTCCAATTGCTATTAATTATATGGATATGATTACCTTTTCTTGCCAGATTTGCAGCTTCTGAGTGTGGCATACTGGTGACATCTGTGCCATTGACAGCCATCACAATATCTCCAATCTGGAGACCAGCTTCTTCTGCTGCACTGTCTGCAATGAAATGAGAAGATTGTCTTTATATAGGGACATTTTTTGAATACCAGCCCAACATCATTCATATTATAAATATGTAAATATGACCAACAGAGGCTAGAGAGGTTTTCTACATAGGCATTGTGGAAAAGGTGTTCTCATCTCTTTTAATATTTAACAAAACTCACTTGCTTAACATTCAAGTAGTGTCATGCAAGTTGCTCTTTATTTTTCTCCAAGTGTCCTGCTTCTAGATAGACCTGCAGGATAGCTGTTTTGTGAAAGACACAAGTGACAGAATGGCATCAGGGGTCTATATGTGTCAGCTAGCAGTAGAAAAGGGAGACTGTGCAATGTGCAATGCACACAAGGAAATCCCCACTCTTTCCACCAATCTAGGATTGGATATAGTTAATACTTTTCTCCAAGCTGGGCAAAGTTGATATTAATGGAGGACTGCTATGACTCAGATGCTTTCTAGGTCAGATCTGGATATTCTTTGTGGGACACACTAGGCCCATGGGCTGTTAGGGTAGGGTGGGATAGCTAGCTACCATTACGGGATGAGATCAGGGATATCGGAAAACCTTATCAAAACTGTCAATTATATTGTACATTTTTCCAAGAAAAGTGTACGGTTGTCATTGCTGCTAATCATTTTCTTCATCAACATCATCTCTTGCCTTTTCCCCTTGCCCTGAGACCTAATGGTGGCTTTGAAAATGTTAACTACACACAGCTAGAAGGGCATATCATGCAAAAGGTAAAATATAATTAAATAATAGCATTAAAAGCATTTGGGACATTTTTTCCTTGGTATTTGACAGCTATTAATTTTGTTCCCAGTTTACCTAATTTAATTCAGGTGTCTATGCATGTGCTTTGATAGGATATCACACTGTCCTCCTTTCGTAGGCATTTGAAGACATAGCTTTTCAAACAAGCTTTTGAGAACACTTAGTCGCTAGTTGTTCTGTGCAGTAGTTGCACATCCTTGCATTTTATCCTATGCTCTCTTCATAGTTTCACTTTCCACTTCTTTCATTCCTATTGTTTACAGCTTGGCTATGTATACAGCCACTGGCTGATGACCTCAGTTTTATTGAGTTAGAATTGATATTTTTATATGCGTATGTGTTTTATTTATTGTATTGTATTGTGCTTAATTTTTATGTTTGTTTTTGGCACTTCATGCTGTCCGTAAACCACCGCGAGTCCCTTTGGGGAGATGGTGACAGGATATAAGAATAAAGTTATTATTATTAAAGTTATTATAGCCTTTGTTTCAATTTATGTTCTTACTCATTGATAGCTGAAAAATGAAAAGGCAGGTGTATATATAGAAAAGGAACAACATCAGTGTAAATACATAAAGTAGAATAAAGCTATGGGGAGATGAAATAAAAAGATGAAGTGATGGTGAGGGATCACATAAAGAGACTGCATAATTACATTTTGGGGATTAGAATAACAAACTAGACCCTTTCTCCCTTTTGTATAGGGATGATGCATTAAATAGATACACTCTCACTTCATAGGATCAGTGTAGGGCAGTCTCAAAACTTTGGTTGCTTTTCTTTCACCATTTTACCACCTTCATTATGCAGAAAATAATAGAGGCTTTGAATATATATATATATATATATATATATATAAGCTGTTGCTGGTGAGATATAAAAGCATGCCTGAGCCACACATGCTAAAGTATCTATCTTTGAATTATTGATCGGCAGCTTAAAATGGCATGTGCTTTTCATGGAAAGCCTTATATAAAGTCAGGCTAGGAATAGAAGCAAACTTACATAAGCACGTTCAGTGTGTATATGCATTATTTCACAGTCATTTGAATCCTAGCTGTATGTTCCAGAATCATACCTTCTTCTTCTTAGGTATATAATTTTTGTTGTTGTTAGCTTATAATGATCTTATGGTGAATCTATCATTGGGTTTTCTTAGTAAGATTTGTTCAGAGGGAGTTTGCCTTTGCCTAAACACCCTTACAATGGCAAAGCTTTCCAACAGAAAATTGAGGTATTCCAGCATTGGTTCCATACAAGATGCTGACCGCAGAGACTAGAGTCAGAGAGCTCAATCCAAGTGCTTTCCTAACTACCAAGTAGTTTCTTATTTCCTATAGATCATTGGCCTTTGTTGTAATTTTGACCATATCTTCCTACCAAAACTTTGCATGAAGTTATAAGCCACAGAAGAAAACATCACGGGCAGTGCCTACATCTTTTAATTTATATGCAAATCAACCAGAAATGTTCCTTTATCAATTATAGATGTCAGATTAGTGGAGAATCACTGAATAATGCCAGGTGCTTTGTGCAGGTCATATTTCAGAAAAAGGAAATGGCAAAACTACCTTTGCATATTCCTTGTCTAAGAAAACTCTATGAAAAATTAATGGGGTCACCATATGCTAGCAGGTGACTTGATGGTACAATCACGCACATACACTTCTCTTATCATTTTCCACACACCGGTATGTGTCATGTGCATGACTACCACAAAAATCTTCTATAAAACAGAAAATATGCTTCATATCATCAATAATAAAAGGAGCAGCGGAGACTTGTTGAAAAACCCTCTGTGTCTTTGCCTCTAGGCAGTCTGTCATCATTAATTCATTGATGACAGAGTGCCTTGGCTTTCTACGCTTTCTTTGAATAGACTGTCATAAAAGTTACTTTGATTTTTTTTCAGAAGAAAAAGGAATTTTAGGGATATCACTTACTGGTGTCCACTTCAGTCACCAAGATTGGCTTTGAAAACTGGATTCGGAATCCCCAGGGGTAATCCCCAGTTCCTTTTGCAATCCTCACAGTTCTTTCACGAACTTAAAATTAAAAACAAATAAGCCCATGTCAAATAATAAATTCATATATAGCTGAAAAATTCAGCTTCTCTACAGATTTATTTCCAACAAGCAGATCTTTGTGACTAACCAGAAGAAATTTTGAATGACAAAACCACTTCATCACATTAGGGAGGGAAGTGTGTAGCAGAGGAGAGTAGAGAAGAGTTCAGTCTTATTCAGTTTTTTAATGAAACGGAGAATGGTATGGACCTTGGGAAACTATAATCCCCCTCCTGGGGGGTGGAGTCCTCCCCCAGGAGGACTCCATCACATGGAGCCATGGCATTTAAAGTGGGGTGCAGGGGCATTCATTCCATACTGTAAATGCACCAAGAGAAGGGTATGGATCTTGGTAAACTATGACTCCCAGGACTGCACAGCATGGTGATATGAAATAATAATAATAATAATAATAATAATAATAATAATAATAATAATATTTACCTCACTACTTCACTATTATTATTATTATCACTATTATTTACCTCACTATTATTATTATTTACCTCACTACCTCTGAGGATGCTTGCCATAGATGCAGGCGAAACGTCAGGAGAAAAATTGACTCCAGAACATGGCCATATAGCCCGGAAAAACCTACAACAACCCAATAATAATAATAATAATAATAATAATAATAATAATAATAATAGCATTTAAAATGGGTCCTAACTGCATTTATTCTCCAGCGCAGATGCAACCAGAGAAGGGTATGGACCTTGGTAAACTATAACTCCCAGGACCGCATAGTATGGAGCTATGGTATTTAAAGTGGGGTTCAAAAGCATTTATTCCATAGTGTAAATGCAGCAAGATAAGGGTATGGACTTTGGGAAGCTATAACTCCCAGGACTGCACAGCATGGAGACATGGCATAATAATAATCCTCCTCCTCCTCCTCCTCCTCTCCCGGCTTTCCCATGTAACACAAGGCACAGACATATCACAGAAAGAAGAGAAGGAAAGGACCCGGAAAAGGTATTTTTTTAAAAAAGAAATTGTTCTGGCAAAGTAAAAACTCAGTGAGCAAAAGGTAATGCTTTCTCTAACAAGGGTACTTTTGGCTCCTCCCACAGCTTCCCCTCCCAAACATTGGGGAAATGTTTCATTGTAAACCTGGGAGCAACTAATGCCATCACATTACACAAATGACCAAACATCCAGATGATTTCAAAAATCCACTTCACTAACACCGCATGAAACATTTTAAAAGAATGCTGGCCCTCATGCTTAAAATACACAAAGAGTGCTCTATCCTACACTTGAAGCCAAACTAATGTGATGACAAGAGTGGCTTCCCGGATTTTAAGTGTAGCACTCAGTGGAATTTAGTAAATGTGATGAAGTGGAACAAAAGGTGTACTAGACAGTCACAAACTTCGTATTTCTTAATAATTTGTGTTAATGAAAATCTGTTTCTCCTTTTTTGTTCTTAAGAGTGAATTATTGCCAATCTTAGGCAATAATTATGTACTAACTTTTCTGGGAGTCATCAATCACATTGAATTCAATGGGCTTTACTTCTGAGTGAGCATGGGCAGGTCTGCAATGCCAGGACTGTTTTTTTTTTAAAGGATTCTGGTAGTAATATGATTAATTCCCAAAGTGAAGCTTGTTCATTGTAGTCCCTCTAGACCAGGCTTGGACAAACTTCGGCCCTCCAGGTGTGCTGGATTTAAACTCCCACAGTTCCTAACAGTTGGTAAGCTGGCTGGGATCTCTGGGAGTTGAAGTCCAAAACACCTGGAGGGCCGAGGTTTGCCCATGCCTGCTCTAGACTATCCTTCAGTTCAAATTGTCATATTGGGCATTCCGGCTTAGATCCCTATTTAATCATGTTTTGGGTGGACTCACTGCAATTTTCAATTGTAATTGACATTTCATTGATTCCAATGGGTCTACATTACATGTGAGAAAATTGCAAACCATCACTTCCTCAAGGCTACTTCAAAGTGCTCTAGCTCTCATTTTTTAAACATTGCAGTAATTTTTGGTCAGATTTTGCAAACAGGCCAAAGGCATGAAAATAATTTCATACCACCCAATAAGCACCCCAGCACTTCTGATCACCATTTTGAAATGAAGTTCAGAAGAAAATTGAGATATCTATGCTTTGTGCTGGAGAGAAGAGTGGCATTTGTAGAGAGTGTTGACCCCTGAATCCCACCCAGATTTCCACTCTAATCTACAGGAAGGGCACATCTGACCACTTAGGCTGGTGTGTGCATACATCAACTGGTACACGGGGCTGATCTGGCTTAACCTGTGGCAAAGCTTCTTTGATGTGGCCTTGCTTTGGGTTAAACTAACTCAGGAGAAAATCAGAATTGTATGCTGGGATTTTGCTTTTCCCCTGAGTTAGGGGTAGTCAAGACAACTGAGCCAATTCCTAACTGGAACCAGCAGCAGTTGTTTTGATTGTCACTCATGTTCCTTGTTCTCAGGTGGCCCAGGGACATGGGATGGCAGTAGCCTGTTGTCTCTCCCTCCCCCCATGTTGTTGTTATTACCAGCCATGACACTCCTACCTTCCTTTTCATGAGTGCTCTTGCTAATATCAGGTAGAGTACCTGCTGATTGAGTGGCATAGGAGGAAGGAGAGGGATTTTCCCTCATCCCAGCTTCCTTAGATACATGGTGCTCTGGCAGATAGACAGAGCCCATAAGAAGATAGGTGGGGGTGGTGTGGTGGATGCTCAGTGGTGCTGATCCGTGTTGATGCAGTTAGGCAGTCAGAACTCCCTGCCTTCTCCAAGGCAGTTCAGGGAGTCCCAATCAGACCACCAGGGGAGACCAATCTGGCGTCCCAAATGCCAGATCAGTCAATCAGAGGAAAACAATGGACAGCAGATAACATATTGTGCCCTTGACATATTGTAGTTGAAGTATTTCATAAATATTCCCAAGTTATTATCCCACCTAAATTTGGTGGCCCTCATACATTTTGCTACCTGCACTGCTAAAAAATACTGTATGTAAGGGTGAGTTAGGTCATTTGGAAAACAATTCTCAAAATTACTTAGTAAGTATGACTAGTGGTCTTCAAGTCTTGTTGATGCTAGATTTGTAGATCAATAAAAATGATATTTCTGAACTCTGGCTGACACACACACACTTACCAGCTACTGGCCTCGGCCTTTTGCTAAGACACCTGGGGCTATTATCTGGACTGGCATCATCCCCTCTGAAAACCCAAGAAGTTGAATGAAAGATCTCTGTGTAGAAACCTCTCTCCTCACTTTCACTATGAAGACCTAGATCCAGTGAACGACCATCTTCTGAGTTTACTGCAAAGAGACAAGAAAAATTACAACATATATTTGTGTACATCAGTGGCAAAATCTCCGAGCAGCTGACATTGCTGTGTGATATGGAGAATATATATTTGACCATATGAGACCCAAGACCATGTAAAAAAAAATAATGTAAGGAAGAACTGGAATTAGATTAAGGTTGAAAATAAAAAAAAAATAAAAAAGAGGAAAATTGAGCTTATGTTTACAATTTTTAAGTGGTATGGTCATAATTTTGAGTCAAAAAACATTACCTATTTTGACTGTGCACACTAAGTCTGCTAAGGTTATAGCAAAACAAAGAAGATTTTAGTATTAACACCAGAAAATTTATCCTTCCTTTCCCCTGGAATGGTTCTAAAGTGACATTTTGAACTACAAGTCTCAAGCGTCACTTTTACAAACTCTGCTTATAAATATAGAAACTTTTGGTGGGAGGAGTTTCCTAGCCCAGATTGTTTCAGGTCTGCAAATCCTCTGTTTTCTGAGGGCCACAGCAATGCATGGCCGGTTACAGGTAGTAGTCAATAAAACAGAAATAGATGTTTTTCTGAAACGCCCTGCCTTTCTCCATTATCCAGCGGATATTGGCAATTTGGTCTCTCATTCCTCTGCCTTTTCTAAACCCAGCTTGTATATCTGGAAACTCACTCTCCATGTATTGTTGGAGTCTGCCTTGCAGGATCTTGAGCATTACCTTAATGGCATGTGAAATAAGTTCCACTGTACGAAAGTTTGAGCATTCTTTAGTGTTTCCCGTTTTTGGTATGGGGATACAAGTTGATTTTTTCCAATCCAATAGCTATTCTTGTGTTTTTCATATTTGCTGGCATATGGCATGCATCACCTTGACAGCATCATATTTCAAGATTTCAAACAGTTCAGCTGGGATCCTGTCATCTCCTGCTGCCTTGTTATTAGCAATGCTTCTTAAGGCCTATTCAACCTCACTCCTCAGGATGTCTGGTTCTAATTCACTCACCACACGTCAAAGCTGTCTTCTATATTATTATCCTTCCTATACAGATCTTCTGTATAGTCTCGCCACCTTCTCTTGTTCTCTTCAGCTTCTGCCATCTTTGTTTTTGTTATGCCCATTTTTGACTGAAATGTACCTCCAATGTTTCTAATTTTCTGAAAGAGGTCTCTTGTCCTTCCTATTCTGTGGCTTCTTTCACTTCCATGCATTGCTTGTTTAAAAATAGTTCCTTAGCTCTTCTGGCTAACTTCTGGAATTGAGCATTTAATTGGGTATATCTCCCCCATGACTGTTTCTTTTTGCTTTCCTTCTTTCTTACATACAAGGCAACAATCTTGCCTTCTTAGTTTTCTTTTTCTTTGGGACATACTTTGTTGCCGCCTCCTGAACAATGTTGCAGACTTCTGTCCATAGTTCTTCTGGTGCTCTATTTATTAAATCTAGTTCCTTAAATCTATTCTTCACGCCCATCATTTGCCATTAAATCTATGGCTGGGCAGTGATTTGAACCAATTTTGTTCAGTACAAAGTTCAATTTGGGTGTCATACAACAATAAAATTTTATTTTCTATTAGTATGTACATAAAAAATTATTTGCAAGTTCAGGGTTTTGGAGGAATGTGATGTTCTTCATCTCAACCCTGAGTGAGTTACTTCTTCTTCACACTGTCACCACAGGACTTTTTTATTTTTACTTCTTTCTCTGTGGGCTAGAATTATACAACTAGCCAGAGTTCAATATTCTTGGAAGATGATCATTTATCTCCTTACTTTTGTGTGTTCAAAGTTAAGTGTACAGGAAGAGAGTTGCAGTGCCGGGAGGGACCTCAGCAGGCATTCATTAGTTTCAACCCAATGAGCATGACCAATTGGGAATACAAAACAAGTACTTTTAGGAAACAATGGACACCTTACCATATACCTCAAGCTGGTGTAACTTGTGACTTGCTAACCCAAATATACAATTTACTTGCCAGGTGCTTAGCAACTCTCACCCTGTTTTGGCCTCAAAAAAACAGCAAACTAAAAACATGGCAGATATGATGCATTCAACTTGACAGATCTCTTCTAGAGATTTCATGGACACTGGATCAGAAGAAATTTGTTGCCACACAATCTCATATTTTATCATTTGCTGGATTCTAAATCTGGGACCAATTGAGAAATTATATACCAGCATATAAACAAAAATGTTATTCACACTTTCAAGTTTACTCCATCACAGTGAAGCTCCACTGATTTTGTTAGTAATACGTCCATTCAGTCTTTGACCTTCTCAAACAAGCATTCAGGTGCACTTATATTGCTCAGGAAAGAAGAGGAGGTTTCTGGAGATTTAGTATTACAAGGCAACATTTGGAGATGCTTGCTAATGACAGGAATAGAAACTGGCAAGCAAGAGGGGGTGCGTGGGAGGGGGAAAAAGTGAATCTAAAATAAGCATCAACTGATGCTTGCAAGCTTTAAGCCTTCATATTAATCTTGATTCTTCAGCAAAAGTGGAAAAAAATCAATATATCAAATTTTCAAATTATTGTATTAATATTCCTTCCACAGTTACCTTCCACAGTTAGCCTGTTAAATTAGAACCAGAAACACCTTTTTGGGGTCATAATATAATATTAAAAATGTATTCCTATTCTGAACATAGGAATGTCCTCATTTTTGTCTAACACGTTCCTACAGTGTCTGATGACCTCTTCTCATTTAGAAGAGTATGTTAAAGTGTGTAACAGAAGGTAAACATTTCTCGGTGGCTCACTTTTAAAATGCCATTTTTAATTCTTTTTGTTAACTCACTCGTAACAAGTAACATAATCTTAGCTTACTTGGATCATGGAACGGAACATTACAAATATAGACTTTCACACAAAAGCCCGCACAAACTTACCTTTCTGCCTTCCTTTTGACCACTGAAGGTCCATGTGTAAGAGAGCTATCTTTGTCAAGATCCACAGCCTTTAAAGCCTAGTGATTACTGTTTATGGTTTCTCTGTGTAAAGACAGAGAGGGAGTTTCCCAGGAGCAGATTTGATCATATGGATGAGTGATTCACAGATAATTCAGTCACTCAGACAGCGCTCATCAACATAACATAGTATTACATAAGGTACCACAACATTCATGATATGGCACTTCTAAATAGCAACAAGTTGTTATGAACGTCATGGTTTCATGTAGTAGGCAGTACACACTTTACTAAATATATAATTCAAATAATTATGAAATATATCAAGACCTGAGCTTTTTACTCCCAACCCAGTGAGACGTGCTATTAAGTTTCACATAGACATTCCTATACCTGTTACCCATTATAACAGTACAGTCATTCATTCACATTTGAGGGTTTGACATTTGTGGATATGATTATTTTCTAGATTGGGTCAATATGTTATTTTTAGGAATCTCCAGGTCTTCCAGCATGACTCTATGGTCAATGTCAAGCAGAGGTTGACCATGGAATCATGCTGGAAGACCGAGGGTTCCTAAAATGCATGCCCTTCAGCATTTTGCCACGGGGCATCCAAATGACACCTTGGGGAAAAACAAATTCCTTTGGGACAAAGCAGGAAAACCCTGCTTTGCCCCAAAGTAATTTGACAGCTGGAAGACCCAGGTCTTTCCAGCTCTGGGCACTGTGTGGATTGGATCCAGAGATTGCGTTGTGCAACTTCTGGTGCCCATCCACACAGCTGTTTTGGGTTTCTTGGGCTCCTGGAGTTCAACAAACCCAAGACAGCCCCCCCTCCCAAAACCCCTTTAAAAAGCCTTTAAAAAGAAAATAATTTACCCAGCCACTATTACCGTGCTGCTGGACCTCTCCTGATGCATATAAATGACATGTCAGAAGAAGGGGGGGGGGAGGAAAATCGCTCCTGTCCCCCTTCTTGTGACGCATCATTTTTTTTGTGCCAGGAGAGCTCTGGAGAAGAAGGAATGGCAGCCTAATAAGTTTTTTTCTTTTAAAAGGCTTTTCGGGGGGGGGGGGGGGGGGTTGTTTTGTGTCAGGGTGTCCTACTGGAAGGCCTGGCAGGGCATCTGGACAAACTCCCAGGAAAGCGTGGATGTTGGGGGAGGTGTGTGGACACCCGAGTGAGTGTGGGTTTAAGCCCTATGTGAAACCACCCCTAGAGATACATAGAGAGATGTTCCTTCAGATGAAAAAAATAGCATTCCTTTATTCGCATTTTCCCACTTTCTGCCAATGTGGGGTTCACTGTATATCTGTGGAAGATTTCCATTGTACAGGGCATCTTAGAAAGTGACAACATAGGGAGACCTTCTAAGATCAAATGTATTTGCTCATAATTTTTATTCTTACTAGTGGTTATGTTGGCAATGATTAATTATGTGTTTTAGGCATATCACTTACTTTCCCTTGCTTACATTGGTTATGTATGTTTATTTCGTAACAGTTACAGACCAAGAGACAAAGATGCTGATGTATGTGAGCTGAAACATTTGCTGTGCCCAATACTTTTGAATTCCCACTTGGGGAACACAACAGCACTCAGTTTAAATTCATGTAGGCATTTTAAGTTGAAAGTTTTCCCTTGAGACACCAGACCAGTGTATTCGGCATACTTTTAGACAAGTGAAAGAACAGCAGACGTAATAATGAGATAGAGCAATAACTGCCCTAGGGTTGATGAAGGATAATCAATTCAGTAGAAGTAAGTCACAGGGGAAAATGTGAAGAATTGTTCATACATGCACATCTACAGAGAGAGGGAGGGGGACACAGAGGTACAGAAGACATCCTGTAACTAACATATCCTCTTCACATCTTTAATTATAGGTAAGGAAGTGTGTGTTTGTAGGGTTGGTTAAGTTGTTACAGAAGCTTCACAGCTAAACAGGGACTTCCCAGAGTTCTCTGTATCTATGGGATTATGTTAAAGTACCTCATTGGTTTCTTACTCTTTGGAAGTCCTTATTCAGCTGTGAAGCTTCTATTAAAAATTAACTAATCCCACATACATCCACTTCCTTATCCAAAATTAAAGATGTGAGGAGGACATGTTAGATGAGAACACAGGCCATTTTAGATGTAACATTACTGTAAATAAACCAAAATTCAGCAGCCTGGCTCCATGCCTATATTTTTCCAATTCTTTTGTGTTTGGTTTGAATCATAAATCCCTATTATATCTAGACAATTGGGACCAAAACTTACACTGCACTGATGTTACCAATTCTCAATTTCTTCTGGAAGAAATTTGTTCAAAATTCTTTGGAGAACGTCTCCTCATTAGCACTGCAAATGTACTTAATACTTACTTGATCCTTCTGTGAGAGTGCTGGTTATGGAACTTGCTCCAGCTGAACTTCCCCTTTTGCTGTTTTTGAATTGTTTCCTCCGTAGGGCCCAGCGATCTATGGGTTCTTCCTGAATGCATTCGCTAATACTTTCATCTCTTGATACTTGCTCACTGGATAAGGTTATGCTTGTGTTTTCTAATGCTGTTCCTACATTTTGTAGGAGAAAAATATATAGATAATTTATAAAATTGATCATATTACAAAACATGCTGTCGTTCATGATCTTTCACATAGGATTTGGAACAGTTACTTCTGAGAACTACAACTCTTTCAATCTCACAGCCACCACGATGTAACTTTTCTTAACTCTGATTTTATGCACTTTAGGATGAAATACTCAATGAGAAAATTTAAGAAGTACAGTATTGTGAGAACGTTTTATCAATTAATTTAATAATTTAGTCTGCAAGTTGCCCTACATTGGTTGGAAGCAAGTCTCCTTGAACTAGGAGGATAGTCCTTTCAGGTAAACATTGATGGCAAAATAAGTCATTGTGCAAACTCATGTTTAATACTCACAGGGCCACCTGCATGCAGATAGCCTAATTTGTCTGCTGAGGAGCAATTGTGTTCAATAGATAATGAATATTGATTTAATATTGTTGTATATTCAGCCACCTTATTCAAAAAGCATTTTTAGCAGATGTCATCTACAGTGAATTAAGTTTCTGTGAACATCTATACTTTATTGAAGTAAATAATTTCAGGATGGACTTTTAAGCGAGAACGTATGCTTTAGTAGTGTACAAATGGAGACACTGTTCTTTTTCACCAAAACGGAAAGATACCACACATATCATACATCATTTTCTCAATGAGAAATAATAGCCATAGCATCATATTTCTCAGAAAATATTGAAAATTCCATTACAAATAGAGTTTTATCCTTAATATGAACAAGGACACCTACTCTCTGTGTCTTCCTTAGGTCTAAAACTAATTTCTGGTTCCAAATAGAATAGACCTACTGAATTGACTGAATTACACAGCAATATAGATGCAACTGATTCAATAACTGAATCAACACGTCAAAAACTCTGGTTGGGACTGACAATTAGATTTTGGCCATGGAGTACTCAACTCTTTCATATTTTTTTAAAAAAATGTAATTATGCTCAGAGCAGACCCACTGAAGTCAGTGGGACAGGTTGCTCATGATTTATATCAGTTTCATCAAGTAGGATCCAATCTATATAAATAAAAATGTAATGTTTGTTTGTGGGATTAACATAACTCAAAAACCACTGGGCAAATTGACACCAAATTTGGACACAATACACCAATCAGGCCAACAAGTGACCATCACTCATAAAACACTGAAAAACACATAGGAAGGGACTTAAAAGGCCAAAAAAAGCAAAAAGATGCTACACCGCATGTGTCAGCCATTGTCAGCCATTTCAAATTATAGTTACACTTGTTATGTTTTAAAGTGTTACTTTAAATCAAGATAACATTTATTTATATACATATATTAGAAACTACACCATGCGACACAATCTTCAAAATGATTTTTTGAAGTATAAAATCTCAACCCTTTTGATATTGGTTTTCATGTCCATTCTACTTCCATCTCAGCTGGAAGTAAACTAGAAATACATTGGAAGGACATTAAGCTATCTTTCACTAGACGTAAATAAATAGTTTTTCTGTTGTAAAAGGTATATAATAGCATGAAGAAGGCAAATGCTATTTATTTATATTATATGAACTATATCTTATGGGATCGCTGATGTATCAAGAATTTATAGTGGTTGACAACAGCAATTGTTTCAATAATTAGAAAGTCCCATAAAGTTCATTCTTCAGCACGTTCTTCTCTACTTCACCAGGTCTTTCTCCACAACAATATCTAACCATAATGATTTCTCTACATCTTCATGGCATGAAATGGATCTATTTTTTGTCTTATGCTTCCATATTTAGATAGGTTTGCAAAAACATTTATCTAAAAGCATTATAAAATGTGATAGGCTAGCAATTGTGCTACAACTTTCATTTTTTCCAACACATTCTAAAATTTCTCTCAATTGTGAAATGTTTGGCTTTGTTACTTTGGTTTGGCAATATTCAGATATACAACAAAAACTTGTAATAAACTCTGGCCATCCCTTGAAGCTCCACATTTCAGGAAAATAATAAATATTTTTATTTGAGTGAAGCTGTCTTTGAGTGAAGTTTCTATCATCTGCTAATGGTGGAAGCCATATACATACACAGAATTATGGAACTCTCAAAAAACATAGTAAAAAAAATGACTGGATAGGACAAAAATAAAAGGGGCTTATTAACAACGCATTATCCCCAACCTAAGGTTATCACCATCAAAAGAGGCTCAATTCTCACTGGACTATCATAGCCTCCCTTGAACCATTGCTTAAGATATACTCACTCAAACAACTTTATATTTTCTAAATCTGAGCGTTCTCGAACCCTTTTCTTTCGTACAAGTTTTTTGGCAACAAAAACAACTGCCCTCAGTTCTTGGATATTTGAATGATTTTATTGATCTAGAAGCATTATTCATTTACTTATTTTGTAATTTTGAACTTGTATTCCATTTTCAAGATCAGTGAAGTCAACATCTAATTGAAACATCAGTTGGGTATATTTCATCATGGGGCCAACTTTCAGAAGGGTAGCTTCATTTTGATCATACATGGTATTCTACGCTTGCTATTTAAATTTATTTAATATTTATTTTATTCAAAACTCATGTCCTGTTCAAAATATATACTGTTATTTGATTTTAAAAAGAAATTCAAATTGACAAATAAAAGAATCATAAATTTAGGAGAAGACGCCCGAAGATCTTTGAACTGAAATTTCCTATGCATTAGAGTTACAACAGAGTGCAGGATTTGAAAATGAGCAAAGTTCATTAGAAATAACCAGAGTTGCACAATAGTTTAAACACTTGAGTGCAAGTTTTGAGACCAAGGTTCAAATCCCCATTCAGTCATGACAACCCACTACTGGGTAAACTTGTGCAAGCCACGCTCTCTCAACCTCAAAGGAAGATGATGGCAAGACCCCTCTGAATAAATCTTGCTAAGAAAAGCCCACGATAGGTTTGATTAGGGTCACTAAAAGTTAAAAAACAACTTGAATGCACACAACATCAGCAAAAGCTGTCAAAATTCTAAGACCTTACTTTTATGGAAGCATATTTTCTGTAGGATCTAAAATTGCTCACCTGAATGTTGGACCTGGATTTTGGGCGATAATGTGACTGGATTCTGGTGTACATCCACCTTTATTTCTCTTTGCATTTTAAGATTTTCACAGCTGAGTTTGAGTAACTCTGGCACTTCATCTTCAACTGAATGTGCTTCACAGTGACTGGATAGGGATTCATCTTGGCTGCTGGAGTCCATTTCTGGTGCTTCTGTGAGAAATGTACCAACCAAATGTTGCTCATCTTCTACATTGTTAGAAACCGAAGTGTCCTGAGCAGAAATATCTTCATGTATAGAATGTGTGCGGATGATTTCAGACATTTCCTGCACTGTAGTAAAGCTTTGGAAGTCATTATCCAGTTCTGGTTCCTCAACATCTAATAGAGGTGACATAAAAGTTTCCCTTATACTGCAGGGCCGTATGGACTCCTTTTTCATTGTTACATCTAAAGAATCTGCAATAGTCTTGTTGTCAGCTCGAATAATAAGTTTTCGTTCTAGTTCTCCAGTTATTACAGTCATAACTGATCCTCGACGTTTCTTTGTTATCCCTTCAGATTCTTTAGGATTTAGCTGAGTGTTTCCATCAGGTTGCAGAACTGGGTGTTCACTTTGAATGCAATTTGTAGGAACTTTAGGAAAAATGTTACTGTGATCTGTACTTAAACTTGATGGGTGCCTGGAAATCAAGCCACCTTGATATACTGGTGCTTTGCTTTCTAAGTCACAATAGGTTTGAACTTCATGGTGATTGCCCCTTTGAATCTCACTACCAAGTTCACCTTTGGCAAACTCAGTATATTCCTCAAACATATCTAATCGTATGAGAGGCTCACTTGATCTGCGTTTCTCCTTTTGTTCTCTACTTGAACTAGCAAGGGATTGAAAATCTTCCACAGCCATCTGGTCGATTTCTCTACAGTCCTCCATCAATTCAAAACAATGATCCATGAAAAATGCACTGCTTAGTTTTCCTTCCAGCTCAGCATGGTATACAGTCATGTCATAGTCATAAGAGGTGAAGGCATAGGAGCATGAAGATTTAAGATCTCTGAGATTACTGAGCAATGATGTGAAACTGGATGAGAGCTCTGCACTGCTGATAGTTGCATGGTGGCTCTTAGTGCAAATACTTGATGTTTTGCCTGGCTTGGGCAGGACTTTTAAGGATAAAGATGGCATTGAATAAAAACCTGAATCTCTTCTAGGGGAGAATGACGACAATATATCAACAGAAGTGGCTGGGAAAGAGTATCTTCTTGAGGTGCTTGCTTCCATATGTGAGACTACCATAATATTCCTTGTATCAGTCAGGCTAGTGTTCCTTATTTGGTGCACATCACTCATTCCATTAGGCTTATTTCCAAAATGGGTTTCACTGGAACTGTAATCATCTTGAGGAGGTTCCCCAGTATAACTAAATTCTGAAAAAAACATGTCCTTACAGAAATTTTTTGCATTGGCATACCCCATCATTTCACCATCTTTCTCCTGACACAAATCAACTCTGCCATCATTATTTAAGGCAACTGAGACTGTATCAGATACGTTCTTATCGTCTGCCAGACTTAAGGAAACACCCTCAGTTGTGGAAGTCTCCTCAGAGTCAGCAAACTCATCTGGTGGAGGAATAAGTGCATACCACTCGGGGCATATGTAACTTGTGAATGATTCTTCTTTCTCCTGAAAACTGAAGTCTGATTCAAAATCTGAATTGTAAGATGCCTCTGCTGCCGAATAATCAGTATCCTGGGCAAATTCATTTCTATAATTTGAGTTGCAAGCTTGACCACATTTCTTTTTTTCATCACCAGGTTCAATACTGACTGTTAATTTCTGCTTCCCATTGATACATTTTACCTTGATTTCCTTTCCAACAATAGATACTTTCACTAAAGGATTTTGGTCACTGGCAACTTGGATTGCAAATTTTGATGGTATTTCATGTTTTCCAGAAAAATCAGTAGTAGGATTACAGGCTTTCTGCAACTTACAACAGTGCTTCCTGTGATACCTTCTTTTCTTATGGTTTTTCCATTTTTCAGCCACAATTTCTGCTCCAGTATCAAACAATGAATTTTTGCTCACTTCTAATTTTACATTGAAGGAACCACATTTCACTTCTGCAGCAAATGCATTCTCTGACTGATGACAGTGTACAGTTTCTGAAATGTGTTCCATGGTTGCTTTCCCATTTGATGTGGTTCTTGATTCATCAGTGTTCACCATTGCTAAGACATCTTGCTCACTAGGAAAACCCAAAGGACACTCTTTTTCTTGTTTTCCTTCTTTTGCACTGTCACATGTATAATCTTGCTCTTCATTTTCAAAGCTGTCTCTGTCACCTATTTTCACACACTTTAATTTACAAGAATGTCTGTTTTTATCAGGTTCTTCTATGTCCATGGCTTCATTCATAGTAGTTTTTGATGGATCCTTGCCTCCTCTGTTTTCAACATCTACATTTTGCTGACATCTGCAGAGGTTAGGCAGATGTTCATCTAAAAAGATGTGGAAAAATAACAAAATTGCTACTGTCTTTAGGTTTTAATGACTCAAAGACCTTATTTACCATCTTAATGCAGCAAAATTATGCCAATAATTTATCGTGACCCACCCACATTTTTTCTTCCATCCTAAGTACTCCTAAGTATATATCCATAGTTGTGATTAATTTGATGGCATGCAGTATACTTACTGATGAGACAAGAGAAGCATGAAAGATATATAAGATGGGAGGAAGTAGAATGGGTGTAAGGGCCAGGGAAGGTGACACTAGTTCAAGAACTTTCATAATAACGCATTAGCTTAACCATCAAAATATTCAAAGAAAGCAGGCCATACACCCAGGCTTTATTTTTGCTTGCCTCCTTCCTGATATTTTTTTCTTTCATGGTCACATTTGCAAAATGAAAGTGCACACCAAAAATAAAAATAAAAATAAATTGTGTGTGTGTGTGTGTGTGTGTAAGAGAGTATGTTTGAAGGATGACAAAGGAGAATAATTTGCACACAGGTTTCATTTCAATTATCGGGAAAATTAATCTTGCAGATTTTGGGTATCAACCAAAAAGCCTTCAGAAATGAAGTGGAAGGGCAGAGCTGAGAATCCCGTGACAGACAGGAGGAGGGAACGAAGAGATTTGTATGTATATATCATGGGAAATTATACCTCTGTCAAATCACTGCTGTTCTACAGCCATACTACACATCTTGCATCAGCTTCTGTAAACAGCAAAATGTTTGGAAGGGTTCATTTTTGGAAATGAAGCATATATTTATAATGTATGATTCCTACCCTCTCCTAGTATCCCCTCCCCTTAATGTGGTACATGCTCATTAGGCTCAGCTGCTTCCACCATTCAAACAATGAACATAATTTGCTTTACTTGAAGGCAGCTGTGTTTCCTTTGGCCCATGTAACCTGCCTGTATGATTGTGTCAATAATAAATAAGATGTCATTAAAATATTCAAACAATGTTTGACACCCAAAATAAATGGATTGTTGTGATTCTAACAATGTAAGCCAGTTGGAAATTCCTATGACTTGTCTTTCTTGTCCCTTCACTCAATGATCGCTTTTCATTTTAGTATACAGCTGAACAATTAGTGTAATTGGTGTAGCAGGAGCGTAAGTTGCATGAAAAACATGCTGTTGTCTTTTGACAGCCTGCACTATACAAACAAGTCTTGTTTTTCTTGGTCTGCTATTCCTGATTCTCAATTGACCACTTGTTTGGGGCACAGGACTCATTACTAGGAGTAATTCGGCTGTTCCATAATATTTCTGGTATGGATTACTTCTGTGTAACTGGAATTCCTAGAATTGAAGTAATATCTGGATCTGGTTTTCCAGAGGCTTTTTTACTCTAAACAATTATAGCACTATGATTCTACTGTAACTATCATGGTCCTAACCTATGGGATCCTGGGATTTGTAGTTTAGGGAGGGCTGTTTAGCATTCCCAGCCAGAAAGTCCCGTTGCCTCACTAAACTGCAAATCCCAAGACCACAACAGTTAAATGGAATCATAGAGGTGTAATGGTGTAATATCAGATTGCATGGTACATGCCTACAACATCTGCACTTATTATTCCCTATAGCACAGGTGGGAATTTGATGGAGTATTTATTTATTTATTTGTCATATTTATACCCCATCTTTTTCTACCCCAGCAGGGGGACTCAAGGTGGCTTACAATGGCACATATAGAGTGTCTCAAAACAACAAATTCACCTAAAATAGTTTAAAATTACAACATATTAGACATAAATAAATGGGGTTGTTTTGATTCTAACTATTGATTATACATGGGAACTTTGGGGGACATCATCCCAGTGTTGTTCAAATTTATTTCATGAAAAATGACTCCAGGGACAATGGAGGAAATTTTGTCTTGTTTTGGGTCTCCATGGCTATTTTGTCCCAAGAGAGGCCCCCTTTCATCCAGAAAGTAAGCTTTTGTTGTTTTCTTTGGGCAGTGAGGAGTTCAAAAACAGTACTATGGGTATGACACTTTGCCCACAATGCCCTACTGGTAGGCAGCACCTGTCCTTCTGTTTATTATGTAATTCAAATGACCTGAGTGAAAAAGAAGATATTGTTTCAGACAAGTGAGTAGAAGTGATTTTTATAACAATGTCCGCCATATTGTTATGGGTGCAGAAATCCACAATACTGGCAAAACACACAAAATATTCCAGAAGAATATCTCAACAGCCAGGTGTGTATGGAGAGCAAGCTTGGTTGCCTCAAAAAGATGGTGCTTTCTGCATATTTATATGCAGGGGATACCATGCATTGTGGGGCATGTTTTACAAATGCTATGGAGTTATGATGTCCCAAAGTTAAGAACAAAAGAATGTTATAAATCAAGACATCTCTCTCCCAAACCTACGAAGTAGCAGGCTAAAATAGCCCACATCTTGATAAGTTGCATGAAGATCTTCTGTGTTAGGGCTAGGTGAACCTTTCCAATTTGAGTTTTGGTTAGTTTTGAATTTTTATTTAAGATATTTCTATATCACCTGAAGGCCTTCCAAGGGGATGAACCAAGACAAATAAAAAGAATACTAAGCTAAAACATAAAAACAATACTCATTAAACATTTAAAAGACGTTTAAAGCATATTAAAATACTATTTTAAAACTTTAAAAATAATCTAAAAACCCCTTAAAGCAGCATTTTCAAACATTTTCAAGACTTGTTTTTTTCTTACTGATTTCCGTATCAATTAATTTTTTTTAAAAAAAATCAATTTTCTGAAGAAACATTTTTGTTTTGATGGCATTTCTTCATTAGTTCAATTTTGTACCAAGATCTCCTTTAATATGTGCATTTTGCATGAGATTCCCCTAATAATGGTGTATACACATTTGTGCACATTTCCCTTTTAAAAAGAAATGTATATATTTAGGGAATACTTTTTAAGTGTTTCATTTTACCCAGTATTGATTTGCAACTTTTAATTAGGATTGGTTACAGCATCAGCTCTCTTTCCCATTTAACTGTGGGACTGAACTCATTGATGCCAAGGAAAAATGGATTTTAGTCTTATTACAGTCACAAATTAAAGATAGAGGGTCTTTTTCTCCATAAAATGAAGCACTTTAAAAATACAATTTCCCAAAAGACTGATAAATAACACCCCTACAGGGCTGAAACATTATATCATAAAGCTGTTGCTGCCATTTATAAATGTTTAATAAAGAAATCTTAGATAAGCAACAGGCAAGTAATTCAAGCAGGAAACAGTTTTATGACATTGCACCATATTGATTTCTATCATATATCTTTGGAAGAAAGTCACAATTCCTCAAACCATGGCTTTGGCACAAGCCACAGTTCCGTGACTGAACCTTGGACATAAAGCATCTTTAAGAATTTTTGACTAGGTCATTATAATCATTTCTCTCTTAAGTACCTTAAGATGATCTACTGTTGCAAACTTACTTTCTTGGGTATCCAAGCTCTTCCTTCCCTTGCAGCTTCTCCTCCTTTTTCTGCTCATGCCGAGGCCGTCTGTTTCTCTGCCTTCCTCCTGCTCTGCAATGGGATGTGGAGATAATCATTACATAGTATTCACTTTCAGGTTCTCTTCTCTTTGATGTATCTTCTTTTTCAGGTCAATAACCACAGATGAGCTCAGAAGTCCAGAAGAAACTGAAGCTGACAAGAGGTTGAAGGGTTTCACTTACAATCTGGTATACCACCAAATCCCTTGAGGTATTGGCAAGATATCGTATTTTTGATGTTGGGTTGTTTTGGTCCATGTGTCTCTTTCAAAGTGTGTGGACCACACAATCCTAAGGTGCAAAAAATGTTCAGCAAATCATTTCACTCTTTGTTCAATAGACAGCACTATACTCTTAATAGCTGATTTTGCAACATTTATCTGACTACGTCAAGGATATAAACAGGTGTCTTATAAGCACCCCTGTATTCTGAGACAAAACTGAGTGTTTAGAAAAAATGACTTTTTGGACTACAGTTTCCAGAATCCCCCAGGTACCACAATAGCTGTTCATGTAGTCCATTTGATTCTGGGAACTATAGTCCAAAAAATAACTCAGCACTGTAATATTCCTCCATGGTAAAATGTGTACATTCTATTGTATATGAGCTTTAAAAATTTACACCTCATTGCATGTGTTTTGTGTCTGGAAGAAGTATAAAATGGTCATAATGTATGCTGACCATTTCTTTCTAGCCTTACTCTCAAGACAGTTCCTTCAACTTTGCCCATTGAAGAGCTGTTCTTATCTGGCTCAGAAGGATAATAATAATAATCATCATCATCATCATCATCATCATCATCATCATCATCATCATCTTTATTTATACCCCACCACCATCTCCCCAATCGGAGCGGCTTACATGGGGACAAGCCCAGACAACATATTACAGCAATAAAATCAAAGCATAAACAAAAACACAACAATATCATCCAAATACATTGAAAGAAAGAAAAAGCAGTCATAAAATAACATTCTAAACACAATCACAATAACGATAACAATGGGCGGGATAAGGATAGGCAACCTTATCATATTTATCATATTTCTACACTGGTTTATACCAAAAAAGTTTAAAAAGCAGCTTACCATTTAAAGTTACAATAGATTATGTGCATTTGGCAGAGGGTATGAGTTGCACATATAGCAGAATTGCAGAATTGCTGGAGGTCAGTGGTACATAAATAATAGCCACATTAACTCAGCCATGTTGTTCTACTCTGTGCCCATTAATATAGAGTTCCTGCACCCACAGATGTTTTTGAAGCAGAACTGAGAGGCAGTGTAATTTAATACTGGTTTCTCGTGTTAAATTAGGATTGGGGAAGGAGACATGTAGCTCATAGTAACATAATTTCTATCGGGAAAGAATTCACAAAAAACAGGTATCATCGTTTTTGGTGACAGTGCCTATCATACAATGCTGTGTACATCCTACTACCAGTTTGCCACCTCCCCCACCCCCAGTGTGGGCCCATCTTAATGTGATGAGTCCCTTCTGCTTCTGTGCCAACAGTAGTGTAATAGCAGGACTTCTCTCTTCTTCCACTTGTTATTCCTAAGTTGGCTGTTTCCCTTTCATTTTACACACACATACGCCTTTTTCTTTTTCAGGCAGAAGCTGCAAAATTGCATTTAAAATCAAAATAGTATATACAAAAATAAAGGAACAGCAATAATGAAGGAAGATAAGGTGATGAGGATGTATGGATATCTGATTGCAAGATCATTGATTGGCAAATTGGCCCAATTTCCTTACTAGAGATGTGTGATATCAAACATGCTTAATGTGGTATGCACCCATTATCTATGCTAACATGACTATTGGAATAGTAGTGTAGTCTATAGACATATTACTCTGAAGTATCAGCATACAAAGGAATCTTACAGTACCTTTGAGATTGAGAGAATGAAGTTGATAGTATAAGCTGAAGTAGACTTAGTCTACTGCTTTTGACTAATAGGAGGAAGTATCTGAAGAAGTAGACTTTGTCTATCAAATCTTATGTTTTTCTCTGTTACTCTATGAGTTTACACACCTGTATAACCTTTACCTGTTTTGGTTTGCGGGGGACAGTCTTGAATGATGTCCTATCATCTCACTTCTTCAGCTGTTTTAAAAATGTCCCAGTAGTAGAGCTCAGTCTACTACTACAGTACTCAAGCTGCACTCAGAGCTGTGCCTGCTACAAGGGGCATTCATTAAAGATTACCCCTAACACACTTCCTGTGGTCTGAGAGCAATGAAACTTGGCACAGTTATTAATCCTTCTCTACATAGGTACCACCTAGGGATACATACTTCTCCCATCTTTTTAAAGCATCTGTAAACACCTTGCTTGTAGAAGTCGACAGGTTGCTCCAAAAGCCATGTTATGACTTTGGAAATCAGAGTCTCATCATCTGAAAAATGCTTGGCCTTCAAAAATAACTTAATTGTTGGAAAGAGGTGGAAGTCCGATGGTGCGAGGTCAGGTGAATGAGGGCGATGCGGTAGAATTTCAAAGCCACAGGAGCATGCTTCCATTTGGGAAACATGTGAGTTGTGAACTGGTGCATTATCTTGGAGAGCATGACACGTTTCATGGTTTTGATTGCCTCCCACAGTGAAGAATAACATGCCCCAGTGATCATGGAACACTTTGCTAGGAAATTCATCAATACTACTATGTGCTGGTCCAAAATACTGTGAGCATGACCTTGTCTGCTGAGAGTTGGGCACATGCCTTCATTAGAGGCGGTGAGTCAAGATGCTTCAATTGCATTGACTGGAATTTATTCTCAAGATCATAGTGATGGACCCAGCTTTCATCCTGTGTGATCAGTCTGTTGAAAAAGTCCTGGTTTCCATGGCACATCGTTAATAGAGCCTGAGAGCATTCAACTCATTCCTGCCTCTGGAAAGGTGTGAGCAGTTGGGGAACCCAGTGAGCAGATACCTTGTGCATGAGAAGATGGTTTTGGATTATTTTTTTCCATGGACTAATCTTGATATTTTGGGTTAGGTGGTGAATGGTTACACAGTGATTTTCCAAAATGGAGACCTCCACTTGTTGGATAGTATGTTCATCAACAGAAGAGTGAGGTCACCCTGGTATCGGAGCTGTTTCTACTGAAGTCCGACCACATTTGACTTGACGATGCCAGTTCTTGACTACATTACATGATGGGGAATCATCACCATAAGCCTCTTTCATCTCATCAAACATTTTCTTTGGTGTGCGACCACTGGGTCCATTATCAAATCTCACATCACTTCAGCACCTGTAAAATCAAGACCCTTATCAGTTCTGAGTTGTAAATTGGCATGTAACCTGTAGAGACTGATATCATTACACATGCGCAGTTTCAGCATCCTGTGATAAATAGAAGTGGTTCAGGGGAAATCTTTAACAAACACCCCTTGTATAAGGCAGTGACATAGCAACCTGAAGGAGCAGCTTTGGCTTGTCTCAAAATCATAGCAAATTGAAAGCTATTTAATGTGTTATTGTTGTATCTGTCGTTGTTGGGGATGAGAGGAAGTGTTTTTGAATTGTTATGCCACATTTGATAAAACAATCCTTTGGTTCTGTGTAGCTTGGTGGCATCTTGGTTGAGAGGGTTTGCACCATTGTTGCTCCATCATAAGCAGAAAAATTCTTGAGCCTAGCCCTGCACTCACAGTTTTATGTAGCTGCTTTTTACACAGCAGTAGTAATCAATCAGTCACCCACAGCATTGAGAATGTATGGCAAATAACGGTTTCACGACGAACAAAACATTTTCCATTAATCCCACTGGTAATTCCAGCAAGAGTTTTACTCTCTCTTTTGACCTTCCTGTTTAGTAAGGCACTGAATACAGTGTTTAAATTGCTGATTAAAATCACATAGAGCTGAGAAGCTTGCAAGGCCTAACTGCTTGAGGGGATTATTAGGGTCATACAGTGGCAGTGCAATTTTAAAGCCTGAGATAGCAAAGACATTCATTGACAGTACTGCAGGAATAAAATATTTTGCAATGCCATATATATCTATATCCATATATATCTATATATATTTATATCTATCTATATAGGGGGGAGTAGAGGCAGCTGTGTAAAAGCAAGATATCCTTTTTTTGAAAAGTGTTGATAGGAAGTTTTTAGCTCTGTCACTTGTGTTGACATGATACGCAGAAAATCTCTACTTTGAAAAATGGAACACTTTAACTGTCAGATGATGAAAAGATGCTTTTCAAGGTCCTTCACCCCTCAGTCTTAACAGCAGTTGCACAGTTTATGGCAGTATATAGTCTCTCCCAAATGTACAACCATCTTAAAAGGATCAACTGAAAATGGGTACTCTCAAAGCTCCATAGAAATAACAAGGCAATTCATCATTCTTATGGATTGAACAGCCACACTAATACTTTAAACAATTTCCCCCCATAAAGAATGCTTCTAACCTCTCCCAGTAGGAAATATCATTTTTAGTGGGCCATGCAATATCCCAAGGAAGGTTAGCTGAACAAATCTTGCTATGGCACAAAATTCTTTAATCAAACCCAGACAGAAGGGATTTATCACAGTGTTATCTTACGTTAAATGGATGCAGTGGTGACACTCAAAGGGTTAGGCAAACCCAAAACAGAATGCATATTGTCATTTCATGTTCTCATTATCCTCAAGATACTCGGTTCATACATACGCTTCAATGTTCCACAGTTGAAAATTGTGATATCGACATCCAAGGGAAATCAAAGGATGGTCAAGTTAACAACAGTTATTAATAAAAAAAATGGCAGAGGGTGGTTGAGAATATAGTAGAAAGGCTCCTGTGGTAATTGTGCATCCTTTACATTACCAAGATGATGTCAGCACTTGTGAGGACACTGTAAAGTCCTCACAATCTCCAATCTCAATTTCATGCCAGAAGCTGACATAAATTAGGTCAAACTTCAGAATAAGAAAAGGAGAACCCACACTGGTATGAGACCAGGTAGATATCAGAAGTTCCTATGTTGAAGTGTTCTCTGAACTTGAAACAGTATTAAGCTGTTAATCATTTT